ATAAGGAGGTGTGAATGGCGTGCAACCTGGGAGGGAAAGGCAGCTTGCTGGGACCTGATGGGAAAAGAGGGCTGAAGAAAATGGAAGGGGGGTCGGGGAAATCAAGGAAAACATTCGGGATAAAGACAACCATCCCCCCTCCCCTTTTAAGTTGATTTTTAGAGAAAGAGGAAGGGAGAGGGAAAGCGAGGTAGAAACATCGATGAGAGAGAATCATGGATCGGCCGCCTCCTGCACGCCCCCTACTGAGGATTGAGCCTACAACCTGGGACTGTGCCCTTGAGGGAATCCAGCCGTGACCTGGTTCCTAGGTCGATGCTCAACCACTGAGCCACACTCGCCTGAGGGATTGTACATTTCCATCCCAGTTCCGGCTTAGCAGCCAGAGATCCAGTATTCCCAGCACACAGACACCTCAGCAGCAAGGGAAGGCGGCATAGAGTGGCCTGTACCGACTGTATCACTCCGCCCCACACACGGGCGCTGCTGCCCCGCCCCAGAGGGCCGGCGCCGGAGACGCCAGCTCCTTACCGTGCCTGGCATGGGTGTGAGTTGCACCTTCGGACCTGGGGCTCCGGGCGGCTTGCTGCGGGGCACTCGCTGTCATTCACCAGCGTCGTGGTCTTGTTCACGATGCGCGTGCAGGACACGATGGTCCTGCGTTCCCCTGGAAACCAGCGCACAGGGAGCTGAGAGGCTGTGGCTGCCACCTCGGGAGGGGCATTAGGTCCCGCTGTGGAGGGGCCTGCAGGGGTGTCTTCTGATCGGAGAGTCGTTAACTGACTGTGGTCAGGGCAGGAGAACTATCAGCTCAGCCAGGAGGGTGTGTAAGACATGGGCAGGGCAGTGCGGGGCAGGAGAAAAATTCTAGACTAGGACCTGAAAGAGGCAACCGCTGCCCGGCCGGTGTGGCTCAGTGGTTGAGCGTCAACCCATGAACCAGAAGGTCACGGTTTGATTACGGGTCAGGGCACATGCCCAGGTTACAGGCTCGATCCCAAGTAGGGGGCATGCAGGGGGCAGCAGATCCATGATTCTCTCTCTCATTGACGTTTCTCTCTCTCCCTTCCTCTCTGAAATGAACAAACACTGGTTATGTGCCCAGCCTGTCCCCCTCTGTGCCCTGACCACAGAGTGGCCGGAATCCACGCCTCCTTCCTTTAACAAAACCCCGCACCCGTGGGCCGGGACCCCGGGGTTCACCTCCTCCACACTGCACACTGCACCCCTCCCAGCCGCTGTGGGTCCAGATGAACAAGGAGTCGTGGGGTTTCTCGGGTTCGCTCTGATTCTCAGCTGTGGCGTTCACGGGGATGGTGTACTCGTAGTGAATTCCGTAATTCTGGTCATGAAATAACAACACCTGGGCGGGAGGCAAAAGAAAAGGCCGCTTTGAAACCGCGCAATAGCCCGGGGCTGCTGAGGGGGCGAGGAGAGCCTCGCTGTGGGGTCTCCTTCCCGGTGGGCACGGGCTTTTAAAATAGCTTTGACCGGCCCAGCCGGGATGGCTCCTGGTTGAGTGTCAACCCAAGAACCAGGAGGTCAGGGTTCCATTCCCGGTCAGGGCGCATGCATGTCTGTGTTGCGGCTCGACGCCCAGCAGGGGGCGTGCAGGCGGCAGCTGATCCATGATCCCCTCTCCGGCCAGGTGGCAAGTGCCTGAGACCAAAGCCTCCTCCTCCCTCCCCGGGGCTCCCCCTCCCCCGAGGGCTTGAGTGGGTGGGGGTGGGGGTTTATGCCCCAGCAGCATAAACATCCACTTCTCCAAGGAACGCATTTGGAAACCTGCCTAGGGTGGAAAAGAAAGTAAAAAGAAAAAAAAACCTCTTTAAAAGAGATCTTTATTATCTCAGTCTGGGAATACTCCCTCTCCCTTCCTCTCTCTCTAAAAATCAAACAAAAAAAAAAACACCATATTCAACTTAACGTTGCAAAACAAGGCTTCATGTAGGACTTTCCAGTGGCCTGGCTGTGGGGGGTGTGTCCTCAGGGCAGGCCTAACACCAGTGGGTCCTCCCTGGGTCAAAGCCACCAGCAAGTTCACTTCCAGGCCGGGAGCTCCAGGAGAGGGGCCCGCGGGAGCTCCAGGCAGACCGTGCAGGGCCCACCTGCCTAGACGGG